AATGAAGTTTTTTGGAAGTCACTGTTCTAGGCAACTCCCCTCCTACACCCAATTTTCTAGCATGAAAATTAAATGAATGAATGTATGTAAAAATCCTAATATACTGCCTGATACATAGTAGCTGTCAGTGAATGGTAGTCACATATACGTGTTTTGTATGTATAATTGTTACTGTTTATATGCTTATCTCTCCTGAATAGACTCTGAACTCCTTCACAGAAGAAACTCTTTTCTTGTACATTTCATTACTCATAATAGGTACTCAGCAAATATTCAGAGGAAGTAGACTTGTTTTAATAGAAAAGAAGTCAAGGTTGCTGGTTAACCTGTGCTATTGCTTAGACTAGTAGTTCTTGTAATGGTTTGCACTTTGAAATTGCTCAGTATTTGCCACTGAATTGATCAAATTCAGTAAATCAATGTACTTGGAACTAACCTCATAGCTTATAACCTTATAACCTTATACAGAGAGACCCTTATACCTCTTGTGGTGACAACGGAGTTATTGCTATTGGTAAATGACACTGGCAAGGTAAAAGAGAACTCTAAAGTTGCCATATATATGTTTCTCATTTAATTATATGTGAAAGTAAAGTCATCTAATTGTGCTGGATAGGTTTTTAAAATGGTGAATTCTTTGGTGTAACGTTGATGCTTTTTTATTAAATTCATAATCTTCTAATTCATCTGCCTTATAAGATAGGATTTATGATCAGATTACTTGAAGGAAGGCTTGGAAGTACATATCGTGATTATGAAAGTATTCCAAACTCCACACATTTGATTATGACATGTAAGATTCTATAATATTCATGGGAATTTGTAACATATGTGTTTTACTTTGAGATGCACCTCATAATGAAGGAATCATTATTTTCCATCACAAGTGTTGAAATGAGATTTGATTATTTTTGTCAGCTAATTTGAGCATTTAAATGTACTTTTAATAGTTTATTTCTATGTAAATTATTTTGGTTGCTTATACCTAAGCATGTAGTATTAATATTATACAGTCAATGACAGAATCAGTTTTTGAGTCTATTCTATTTCAGTCCCAGCTGGTGTACTGAAATTCACTTCTGACACTGAACTCCCAGAGTTAGCGTTAGATTCCGCAGGTTTAAGGGCACAGTCCCCAACAAAACTGTCCCACTTCAGATGCTAGCCATAAGTGGGATTACCAGGCCACCCACACTTCAGGCATCTGCTGCAACAACTTAAGTACCAAAGGAAATATCAAATCTAGCTAGAAATGCAGTGATCCTGCACCTGATCCAGGGAAAGAATAAGAATGAATACATTCAGTCTCTAGCTGAGAAAATACAAAAAACAAAAAAAGTGTATTTGTAACTTTTTTGAGAGGGTTCCTTTCCTTTATTAAACTGGGTCTCTGGAAATAGTTTCTATTGAGGGTTTTGAATCTAGAGTTCAGGGAATGATGCATATATATACATACTTATATATATACATACACACACACATATATATAATTATTATTATCTATCAGTCTGAGGTTTACTTTTTTATTCTTTTAACTGTCTTTCACATAGCAAAAGTTTTAATTTAATGAAGTCTAATTTATCAACATTTTCTTTCTGGATTGTGCTTTTTGATGTTGCAATCTATGAAATCTTTTTTTTATTTGAAAACTTTTTTATGCAATTACTCAAGATTTGTGAAAACACTTTAGTCTCATAACATGTAGTGGTATATTTAATGTAGTCTATTAGTGCTCTATTACTACATACCATCTTATATTTATTATCTCACAGTTTTCCATGGGTCAGGAGTCTGGGCGTGGCTTAGTTAGGTTCTCTGCTCAGGATCTCGCAAGCTGCAAGCAAGGTGTCAGCCAGGGCTGGAGTTTTATTGTGATTTAGGATGTCTTCCAAGCTCGTGTGGTGGTTGGCAGAATTCATTTCCTTGTGGTTGTAGGAATGGAGCCCTCAGCTCCTAGAGGCTACCCCTCTCTCGGAAATTTGAAACATGGCTCTTGGCTTCTTAAAGGC